ATTTTATTATTCAGTAGCAGTTCATATCTTACTGAGCGACTGCACTTTAATGCTTAAGAATTAAATTCCGCAACCACAAAACTTTAACTTTAATTATGCTTTTTTTTTTTGTAATTATATAGGTATTTATAGCCGAGTTTTTGGCAAAATAAAACACAGAACCAAAAAAAAATTTGAATTAACAAAAACTACCGGCCACCTGCATACAAATTGCCTACAAAAAACTACAACTACACTACATACATACGTAGTAATAAAGTAGTAAACAATTCCAAACAATGCCAAAAATTCTTAAAGATTATGCAATTCACAAGCAAAAGCGAACTAAAAAAAAGCAAAGTGAACTGAAAATGAGCTGTGAAAATCCAGCAAAATAAGTAATTACTTTTTTTTAATTTGATATGCTGAGCACTACTATACATTACAAATAGTTAACTAGATATGTACATCAATGCAAGGTCATTGTTGAAGCTGAGAATTTTACCAAATATTTAAATTAATTAATTAAATTTGCATTAAAGGCAGTGGAGCTATGTTGCCCAGTGCTTTATTTAACTTAATTATCATTTGTTTTTTTTTTTTAATTTAAATTTTTCTTGTGTACGATTACATAGGTCCGCGTTCAAAAAAATTCCGAATTGAACGGTAGCTAACAAGCTCCATTCTCATTGCAAGAACGCTGCCCTCAAGTCCTACGAGATCAATTTAAATTCTCTGCAACGCCGTAAGTTATCAAAAAAGCAATAAAGGATACAATCGGCACATGATACCTACCTCTTTCCTCGAGAATATACCTGCTAAGGTTCTGGCGGGCTGAAACCACCCGTATAACAGCCGGACATTATATGATGGGGACTCATGGTAGAAGAATGGGTTACTTCTGCAATGACTGCTGTCGAGGCTGTAGAGAAATAGACGAGTAGGAGTCAGTGGAACACCACCCTTATTAATGCGTCGCCTTTAGAGTAGCCCGACTTTGTTTCCTAAGTAATTTCTACTTTAACCTCATTGAAGATATAGCGACAGCAAGTGCTGAGAATCCCGTGTGTTTCTTTAACAAACCAAGTGGTTGCAGCATTTGGAAAGGTAAGTGGCATCTTTTCTATTTACTCCTCATCGGTATCATACCGAGCCAAATAGACGTAGTGTCCCCCCCCCAGGGATTGAGCAACCTAATTTACTTATAATGTTTGCAAATATTCAATTAAAAAAAATAATTTCATTTGCTTGTTTTTAATTCCAATTATTACTAATTTAATTTAGTTTTTTAATTTGTTTTAATTTGATTCTATTTTTTTAATTTTATGTAATTTCACTTTATTTTATATTATTTTATTTTATTTTATTTTATTTTATTTTATTTTATTTTATTTTATTTTATTTTATTTTATTTTATTTTGTTTTACTTTATTTTATTTAAATTTATTTTGTTTTGTTTTATTTTATTTGTTTTAATTATATTTTGATGTTGCTTTAAAATTTTTTAGTTATTTATTTACTTCTGTCGCTTCTGTTCCATCGAATTCTTCGTCCCATCGAAAAATTAAACAGCCTTTGTGTCCATTAAATGGCATTTTTTGCGGTTAACCTTAATTGCTTTGATTTGCAGAATTCCCTTGAAGTTGTTTGTAATTTTTTGGCGCTGGCTTTATAAATAACTAATAGTTCACCTTGATTATTATTTGTCGATCGTTAAAATTTTTTCAGTTTATAGTTTCTATTATTATTTGTATTACGTCTTCTATTTATTAATTTTTCCTTGTAACTTTTCTTTGTCATAGTGCCAAGCTCGCGAGCGTAACCAATTTGGGTCACTTCAATTGCAATTAAAGTGTGGCAGTTGCGCGTGCTATCTAACTTTTAGTTACAAGCATTAATAATAGCACTATTGATCTAACCTCAATGCATCAATTATGATAAATAAATTTTTATACATAATTTTGTGGAAAAAAGTTTGTTGGAATTCTTATTATTTATTGCTTAATTTGGCTACTTATTGTTTATATTTATATTCGATTATTTTAATGCCACGCTTACATACATACTTATTCAATAGTAAACACATCAGAAGCTCTTGATATCGGTGTTCCATCAAGACTTGCACCATTGACTCACTAATAGGCTAACATATATAGTACACATATGTTCATACTCAGTAATTTCTAAATCAGTCCAAAATTCAGTTGGTTGGAAAAATTCCCCCGATGTCATAATAAAAATATCTAAGTAGCTTACCAATAACTAAGGCGTCTTCCAGCCACCAACACAAATTGTTTTGGTATTTACTGCAAAGCCATAAGTGGGCAACATTGCATGACAGCCAAACAATTTGAGGCCTTAAATTGGCTGCATTTTTTCACTCAAATGCACCTAAATAGTAAATACCACAAACATAAATAAAACAACAACTAAATAAATAAATAAATTACAGTAGCAGTAGCTCTTTATAGAGTTTGGGAAATTGTTGTTGCTCAGCAAGAAATGCTTTGACGCACAAACTGTTAAAGAGATTTTATTTTTTGTACATACATACATATAGACAATATATAGACAAATGTGTTTTTGTTGCTGCAACAGCAAAAATTTTCACGTAATTCCTTAAAAAAAATTTAGACTAATCTGCACCGTAAACACTCACATCATCACAACATGAAATTGGTAAATTGAATTGCGGTAAATTAGTTCATCTTATGCGACATACTTACGCAACAGAAAATTTCGTCTACCAGCAAAGAAATATATAGACTTTAACTTGATTTGAGGAAGTTGGGTTCAGTTTATAGAGGGAAAAATTCATCAGTTGATCTTTCACGGAAATTTTTCAGCAAATTGTATAAAAAGCAATATTCGTTTTTCTAATTTTATTTTATTTTAGAATTTAATTTTTTGTAACCACATATTTTGGTAAAAATTTCAATATGACTTTACTATGGATTATTGTGCACAGCGAACAAAAGCAAGTTTGCTGCTTAAGTCTTCTTTAGAGCGCACGTGTTGTTTAGCATTAATATCACATATATATATATATATATATATTTTATATTTTATTTTTTTTATATATATTTTTTTATATTTTTGGTTTTGCGTCTTGATGGTTTCCCAACAAATGGAGCGACCAACAGTTTATACTAAGCCGCCTCCGAACGGCTGATCCTTTTTTATGAGGAGCCTTAATTTCATGTCAGAAATTTACTCGTTGGGAAGGACATTCCCTGCCGAGGTGCGACCGGGCCTTCTGAATGTCAGTACGCAACGCTACCCACTCGGCTACCGCGACCGCCACTTAACGATCTAAAAAATTAAGCACGCCATAATTTACCAATAAACTGATTGAATTTAGACAATAATTAAGTGCAGCACAAAGGTTGGCATTTTTATTAGCTTCTCAGTACACATATACATATACTTGTGGCGATTGAGTCGTTGGTTTATAAAGACAAAATAGATGTTCAAATATTTTTAATGTATTTTTTAGTTCACTTGGGTTGATTAATATCTGCTATGAGTCAACTGTTTCACAAATGATATTCCAAGGTTCACCAAATGCATTGGTTTCATTTTATTTAATTTTTTTTCAAAACTGTATCAACTAATTAACTCATTAGAGAAAATTTTGATTAATTGCCTAATTTTTCAACCACAATTTGAAAAAAATCAGTTGACACATGTGGCTCAAAAAAGCATGTAAAGATCGGTTGCCATCCTCAAAAAACTCGACATAATTTTAATACGATTTAGGGAAAGATGGAAACGCAGCTTTGCAGTTAGTTGGAAATATTTGGTGATTTTGTTTAAATTTGGTCGAAATAAATATCAAAAAAATTTTATTCAATTTTATTTTCCGTAATAAAGGTAAACATCTCTACAAACTAATATAGACAACTAAACCTAAATGACTCTACGTTGTTTAAATAAAACTGTTTGATTTTCAGCTAGAAATTCGGGCAAAATAACTCACCTTCTAGTCGTGACATAAATCGAAATACAAACACTTATGCAGGGAATTGACCAAATCACTTCGTTATCGGACAACACAACTTGCTTACGAGCCTGTAGAGTACCTTCAGAGGAAAATATTGTTGGAGGAGCTAAACTCGCCCCCGTTTGCAGGAGTTAAATCATTTTTTTCTCAATTCTTTGCTAAGAACTTTACATAAATACCTCTCTATGAAGGCGTATAGGTCAAAGAACTAAAGCCTCATGATCATCCGTAGCGATTTTGCTCGTTCAAAAGTTCGAAGATCGCCTGGTAGAAGATGAGCATTTTTAAGAAAAATCATGTTTTCCGATGAAGCCCATTTCCTCACCGCCGGCTACATTAACAAGCAAAAGTGCTGCATTTCACTATAGAACAACGCACAAGTAAGTCAAATTTTTAATGGGCTCTCCTTTAGATCTAAGAAAGTTTGGATGTAACAAAAAATTCCTGAAGTAAATTTATTTTGCATTTCTCAATATTCTTTCGCTAACTCAGGCATTAAAGACGGTCACTCAAGCATCATGTACAGAAACTCAGTCTCTTCACTCGAACTTAATTATTACAAGGTATTTCCTAGCGACACGAGCGCGACAAATACCCAAATTCATTATTCGATATTATATGATATTATTAACAACTTAAAAATATAATACGAATTAGCCTCACGAAAGGATCTCGTGATATCCCAATCAGATGTCACTTTAACTATTTTTTAATTGCTTAAATTCAATTTAATAATTTGAATGATAAATAAATATAAAATACACTCTATTGACTACACACCGAACGCACTGTAGCAACACTCATTTTAAAATTTTCACTCAACTTCATGAAATACACTCATTCACATTTTGCTTTCATGCTTTTCCTTAACTTCGCTGTATACATATTTCAGCAACATTGCTAGCATGCTAGCCAACATTTGTTGCGGACATAAAAACCAGTGTAAACAACATTTTATGTAGCAACAGCAACTAGTAGTTACAACCAAAATTGGTAGCTAGCCAGGCACACGGCACACAAGAGGCGCCAATGCTTGGCCTGCACAGCAGCAATACCAAAACAAACATCAAGCCACCGGTGTAGCTGTCAAGCAACCAAACAACCGAGCAGTCAAACGGCGAAGCAACCAACCACACCAACAGCGGGGACATGGTAGGCCGCCAGCAGCAACTCGAGCAGACGTCAAACCAACAAGTTACCAAACAGCAGACAAACCAGACAACTGCAACGGCAATAGCAGCAGCTGCAGCAACAACAAATTCAATATTAATTTGCCATCCAAGCGCATGGACACTTACGTAGCGACGCAAGGCTTTTCATTTCTTCAGTTTGTTAACGAAACGCAAACGATGCAGACGCGTCTTAACGGTAGCTAAAGGCGAACAAGCAACCGAGTAACTAAAGTAATCGCTTTAAAAGAGATAAAAAATTAAATATTTGTAATTTGTGTGTGCAAATGGACTGGACTAGTTGCAAGTTTACATAGAAAAATTTGAAGTTGATTGGAAAACTGCTTTTATGGAATACTTTTGTGTGTATTTTGTTTTTGTTTTTAGTAGCATTTATTAGCTGATAAAAGTGACTTCCTCGTGCAGGATGATTTCAATTATTTTGAACGAAATAAAATAAAAAAAATTACTATAAAGTAAAGTGAAAAATATAAATTAATTATATTATATTTAATAAAAATTAAAAAAAAAATAAAACAAACGAATAAATGTATAAAATAAATTAAATTGAATTAAAATAATATGAAATAAAATAAATTAAATTAGATAAAATCAAATAAATAAAGATAAAATAAAATAATTGAATATAAAATAAAATAAAATAACATTAAACAAAATGAAACATAATAAAACAAAATTTAAAAAAATAACATATTTTATTAAAATAAATTAAATTAAATAAGTAGAAGTAAATTAAAAACAACAAAAAAATTTACATAAACTAAAATAAACTAGATTCAAGTAAAACAAGTTAAAATATAAAAAAATAATAAAAGTATAAAAAGTTATAAATAAATTAAGAAATTAAATGAAGTAAAACAAAAAAATAAATTTAAAAAAAAAAGTAAAAATAGACTACAATATAATTAACAAAAAATAAAATAACATAAAACCAAATAAACCATAATAAAAAAATAAAAAATAAATGAAATTAGATTAAAATAAATAAAATTAAATAAGTCAAAGTAAATTAAAATGAATAAAATAAAATGAAACCAATTAAAATTAATTAAAATAAAATATAATTAAATGAAATAAGTTAAAATATAAAATAAAATAACATAAAAAAATAAATAAATAAAAAAAAGAAAAAAAGAAAATGAAATTAAATAAGATAAAATAAATATAATATAACACAATAATATAAAATACAGAAATATAAAATAGAAGAAAGTAAATTAAAGAAAAAAATTAAAAATAATTATAAAATTAAAAATAAAATTGCTTTCGATTCTGCGCTGCACTCAAAGCCAAATCACTGGCGTGTGTCCAAGTGGCTGCAAACGGATTAGAAATCTCCCGCAAAGCCAGTATTTCGCCAAACAACTACAGCTGCCAGCCGCCACCCACCGCCGCATGCTTGAAAGCCATTGACGCCCAGCCTTGCAATTACTTTCCTATAATTTTGTTATTGTTTCAGTATATTTTTTTTTAATTTGTTTTTTTTTTTTTGTTGAATTTTCGCTTATTCGCCTGCAGTGAATGTTGTTGAAAACTCGTGAATAGGCAGATAAAGTGCAAGGCGGTGAAAATTGTATTCGTTTTCTTTTTTCTTTCTTTCTCCTGAGCGAGACGTCTTAATGCATGCTTACGGAGCGTTTAAGAAAGAAAAAAATAATTTGCTAACTAAAAAAAAAAAATTTCAGAAAAAGTGTTACTTTGCGTTTGATGTATTAATTAATCTTAAGTGGCAACAAAAAAACTTAAACTTACTCAAAAAAAAAAAATAAAATATACATTAATGATAAACAAAGAAAAAACGATGAAGTAGAAAAACAAATCTCTATGGACAGCTAATGCGCTAAAAAGAAAGCAAAAGCATTGAAAACAGTAGCAACGAAAAAATATGCAAACAGCAAGAAGCGTGTAGATACAGTAAAAATAAAAACGCACAACTCGAAAAAGTAGGTGAAATTCAAACGGAAATTGCGAAAAATTGAATTTATTAGTAAAAACCGCAAGTTCTTCGCGCAATTGTATGGTTTTTGAAATTTGCAAGTGAAATTCCCTTCAACTACTAAAAAGTTAAAAAACAAAAACTGAAGTGTTCGACATTTTTAAACTTACTATTGGCAATTAAATTAATTTTCCGGTGATTTAATAAAAAGAAAATCGGAAATAATCAACAACCGGACACATTTACTGAGGTATGTATGTATTAAAATGATCTTTAAAAACTAGGCGATGGAGTAGAATTCAAAACTGAAATAAAATACAAAAAAAAGGGATATGTGAATTTAAGACTGAAAAATTAGAATACAGGGACTCGTTATAAGGATTAATATAATAAAGATTTTAATATAAATTTTTAAATATTAATCTAAAAAAAATTAGGAATCTCTGTTTATGTAGTTTTGTAATGAATATATAGAGAAAAGTAACAAAAATCTTTCATTATCTAAATATGAATATAACGCTAAAGTAATTTTCGGGCGACCACCTTCTTCGATTTGTTGCGTGCGGCTTAATGTTATTCCTACAAAGAAAGAAGGAGGGATCTACAGTTTGTTCTAAGCCAACTCTGAGCGGCCAATTGCTTTTTGTGAGAAGCTTTTTATATTGTATCAGAAATACACTGCGCGGGCTTGACATTCCCTACCGAGCAGCGACTGTAGTTAGGAAAATTACTTTTTAAAAATTTTTTTTTTGGCGGACCAATCACACTGCGTTTTCTTGCCTTTTTATACAAAAATTTGTTCAGTGACAATAGCTTGTTTTCCATTTTTTTTTTTTTTTGATGACCTTTGCTTAGGTTATGTCTGGTGAAGAATAGGTGCCATGGGATTATGGACTTTGGAAACGAAATTCCGATTACATAGCATAGGCACAAGATTATGTATCGGACATAGATGCAGTTGTTGGTCGACTGCGACCATAAGACATTCGTGTTCACGATGAAAAAGATAATCCGGTCTAGTAGATTCTGAGATACACTTTTTCCACCCACATTTTCGTCCGAAATTCTGTTCAACTCCACATATAATATTTGCCATTTAATGCGATTATTTATTTTGCATTCAATTGAGGACCATTTGCATAATAACTATTTGTCGTTTTGCAGTAAATGTCTATCATAGAAACCCTTGTTTCTATTTGGCAAAAAATTGGTACAATCGACTTTCAAAGTGTTCTCTACAGGTCAATTTTTCACCTGCCAAATCAACCGCCAAAAACAGCAACAGATGGTAATCACTTGGTTCAAAGTCCGAACTATAATGTGGATGCATAAAACTCTCCCGACCAATCTCTCAGATGTTCATTATCGATGCGTTTAGTCTGGCATCCTCCTTAGTACAATTACCCACTTGTTGGCAAAAGCTGGGCACTTCTGAACGACTGCTTCCTTCAGATGGTTCAATTGACAGTACAAGTCAGAGTTTAGTCGTAGCGGAGCAGCTCATAGTAAATGACTTCTTGCCAATACTACCAAACACACAAAAACTCCTTCTTGGTCGTCAATACGGACTTGGCGGCCGTTTGTGACACCTTTCCACTACGTAGCGCTTCTTCATGTATCCAACCTTTTTCAAGGGCTTCCAACAAATTTTTTTGTGCAATTTTAGCTTCTAATAAATCGATGAAGTGTTCGTATGATGGTCAGACTCGACAGCTGCCTGGCTTGCGTTTCGCTTTTAACAAAGAGTTTCTCCTAAGAATCAATCAGCCTTTCGGAGGCGGTCTAATAAATACTAATTGTAAGCCTCTCCATTTGTTGGGCAAATACGGAGACGCATACCACATAATGGAGAAGAAGCTCCGCCGGAAATGAGGTGTAGACTAAAGGCGCTTTCATAAATTGGAATAATAAATTTTTTTAATGGAATTTTTTTGTGACATTAAGCAATAAAGTATTTTTATTTTTGAAAGAGTATCGATATTTCCAAGCATAAAGCTGATTCATACTCTAACGATGTAATTATCGAATATTTACAAAAAAAAAAACTCATATACAAATTGGAAAAATCGGAGTTTTTGCAAATTACCTTACTCTTCAATAGAAATAAAAATAAATTAAATCAAATCTATCAAGGGTTTTATATTCTACTGCTACGAGAAATGAAAAATGCAATAAATATTTTTTCTTCGCTTTCTTTATTAAATATATTAATGATTAATGCTAAGTGTGTGGCGAGTTTGAAAAGCGAAAGTGTAAAATGATATTACTATTAATTACGAGTTAATGCATTAAAACAATAACAATAAATAACAACAAAAACAACGTCTGCATAAAAATGTATAATTTAATACAAATTGAAATGCAAAAAGCATTAATTTTTAAAACTGCGTTTAAGAGAAAAGTAAGCCTGAGCTTCTACGGAGTTCAGAAAATTAAAAGTCTAAATACACACTCATTAACATAAATATGTAGATAAATATGTATGTAAATAAATAAATTTGTAAATAAATAAATATGTAAATAAAGAGACAAACTGAATAAACTGCCTACAAATGACGTCGGGTAAAAAATGAAAGTAAGCGTTAAAAAAAAAAATAAAATAAAAATACAAGCGCGCGGCTGCCAAAGATGAGTTGAAAAAAGAATTTCCCCAATTGCAAATATTTTCACAACTCCACTGCTTGACTACACTTTCATTGCCAATAAAAATTTTCTAAAGAAAATGCAAAAAAAAATTAAACGCAAATACATAAACAATTTGGCAAGTTTGATTGAATAGCGAAAATCAGACAAGAATCTGATACGTTTGTTGGCACACTATAACGTGTACAGCAGCAACACCAACAACAAAAGCAATGTCATTTACAAAAGCGCTTTTACCATTTCTTTTCCATGCTACTTTTATATTATTAACTACTTTCATTTTCAATTGATAATTTCATTTAATTATTTGCCTAATAAATAGACATACAATAAATACATACACTTGTGCATATATGTACATACATGCATGCCGCAAATAATATATATGAATACAGTGTATTGAAAGCAAAATTAAAAACGTACCAGAAAAAAAAAACTAAATAAATATATGATACGTAGTACATACACGTATGTACGTATATATTGTATTTACGCGTCTTTTACATACACACGTACGCGTATATAAACCATAAAAACTAAAATCGTACAATTACCACTACAATCTAAAGGCAATAATTGGCCACACATTGATATCGATGATGAAAGCAAAACACAAAAAAATAAAAATGTAAAACTAATTTCGTAGGTATGTACACTATATGCATGTATGTATGTATGTATATGCTTGCATTTACTACGTGTTTATGGCAGCGAAATGTCACCGGCACGCATAATATCTTTTTACCTCACATTTTTTGCCTTTTTTTTCATTTCAAGTGTATGGCATTTGTGTGCGTATGTGTGTCTGTATGTATTTTTGCATGTGTAGTGCAAATGTTTAAATTAAATACTTTCTAATTATAACAACAATAACAGCAACAACAGCGAATAATGACAATAACAATGAAATTTACAAATGAAGTGCAGTCAATTGCGACGTGTGGCACGCAGGCACACGCACGTCATCACATCCCCACACACACTCGTACATACATACAAACGTACGTTGAAGTAGCAGTTTTAATAAAAAAAAAAACTAAGAGAGCAAAAAATGCGCGTTATTTGGCATTTACTTGCTTATTAAAACTATTTCGAAATGAATTTTGCTCAAATTAAGCGGGAAGATCCAAAAATAGTCATTAATTGGTTAAGATATTCGCAGAAAAATATTAGGATATGAATTTACAATAAATTATATCAAATAATTATTTTAATTACTGCTTCCACGAGCATGAAATAGTTTATAAAAAAGTATTATATTACCAAAAATAAAGAAAAATATTTATTGTTAAATTAACAATATTGAACTTTCATTTCAAATCAAAAAAAAATATATTTCAAAACTGGAAAAATTTGCAAATTTTAAGTTAAGGCCAACCTCCGAAAACTTTTTTTTAACAAACAAATGTTATTTATATAAAAAAATTTAAAATAAATGTTTTTGTAGATAGGTATTTTAAATGTCGGCTTTTCAAATTGTTATTCATCAAGTATTCCCTTCATTCCGTACGTATCTTCTGGACATCGTTCACCAGATTATTACTTTGCTCTGATCTTCGATCAGTTTCAATCCATTTAGGAATGTCTCTTAGTGTAGGCTAAATTTTTTAAGAGTTTATCCGCCCTGGTGTCAAAGACGGCAAACGAAATTTTGACATCATGACCGGAGCAGAACTCATAAGTATGCAATAGACGAACTTAATAGGCATTCTTGGACACATCATCCCTTGGAGCATGGGCGCAAATCAGTGATATGGTGAAAAATTTAATTTTGGTGCGGTTTGTGGTGTGATTTTCATCCCCAATTTGCTCTGCAAGCGCCTGGGAATACTCCTTTCGGTCCTTTCCCCATCTACCTCATTAGTTGGATGGTTATGATGTCAGCTTTTAGGTTTATGGGTAAAAATGATTTGTCTTCCTTGCTCGTGGAACGTGCTTAACCAACAATTTCAAAATCTTATACCAATATATACATTATTATAACTATTTACTTAGACATATAAATATATATATCTATATTTATGTGTATATAGACACATATCAAACACTCCTTTACTGCATTAACTTGGCAATGACAAAGTGACGTACGTGTTAAATCGACAAAAAAAAACACTTAATGAAAGTGAAAACTAAGCGTTTGCGCACAAAAACTGCTTAAAGGAATAAAAAAGCAAAAAAAGAAATTAAATAAAAAAATACGTAATAAAACTTATGGTAAGCGAAAGAGCAAACAAATTTTTTATGATCTGCAAGGTAAAGAAAAAACGAAAAAGAAATATTGAAAGTAACAAGTGCCGTGCGTGAGTTTGCACATTTCATCAACCGCAAGTTCACTTTCGATTTCATTCGAACTTAACAGAAATTTGTAGTATTTTTTTCCTTTTTTTTTTAACAAATTTTTTTTCATTTTTAGTGATTGATCTTTTAATCACATTTTACACGCCTGCTAGCGTTTGCCCTATGGCGGGCTTGTATGTATGTATGTAACATATATTTTGATCCATTAGTGTTAATTTTATATGCACATTTCCATGCCAACATCCGGTTGATTTTAAGACTTTTCCGCTATAACTTTTTTTCACATTTTTTAGCTATTTTTATACGAAC